ATATAACATAAATATAAATTTTTTCTATTTTTTTGTTAGAATAGAAGAAAACGGGGTTCACATACATTGCTCAAGGCAGGTCATCAACACATCATGTAGAGCTTACAAACAAGAATACTCACTGGCCATACTGCTACAACAGGAAAAAAAAAAAAAGTGCTAGGATTGCAGACCCTAGCCACCAGAGAATAGACATAATAAAATAATCTACAGACACATGCGAAACAAAATAAAAATATATCATATCAAATGACACATGAAGAATAACAAACCAGATAAAAAACAATAAATACAACTATACGATAGGCCAGAGACACATGGCATCAATGCTGTAGAATAAACTCACTAAGCAAATATGGAAGAAAAACCGAAGGACGGAGAATATAGCATGCGCAGGATCAGAGAATATATAGAACAGAATAGAGCCAAGAGCGCGACCCCGCTCTCTAACTAGAAATAGAAAGATTAATTGCAACTAATATATAGAAAACGGAAAAAATTAGCTGACATGGTGGCGCTGCCTGTAGTACCCAGCTACTCGGAGGCTGAGGCAGCAGGATTGCTTGAGCTCCCCAGGTTAGTTTGAGGTTGCTGTGAGCTAGGCTAAGGACGCCCAAGCACTCACTCTAACCTGGGCAAACAAGTGAGATCTGATCTCAAAAATAAATAAAAATAAAATAAACCATATCCTTGTTAAAAAAAAAAGAAGCCTTAGCAAATTCAAAATAAAATTATACAAACTATATTCTCTGACCATAATGAAATTCAAACTAGAAATCAATAACAGAACGATATCAGGAAAACATCCAGTCACTTGGAAATTAAACAACGAATCACTATAAATACAACACAAGAATCAAACGACGAATACATAATTTAAAAAATATTGAAATCAGTAAAATAATATAAGGTAAAAACTGAGATACATGCAGATAAGCAGAATGCTTAGAGGGAAATTTATAGCAAAAAATACTTACATATAAGGAGGAAAAATCAAATCCATATCAATAATCTACCTTGAAGAAACAGAAAGCAACATATAAAAAAGAACCCAACATTAATCAGAAGAAGGAGAATAACATGTAGAAACAAAGTATAAAAGAATAAAAGAAAATCAGGCCGGCATGATGGCTGACGCCTGTAATCCTAGCACTCTGGGAGGCAAGGTGGCAGATTGCTCAAGGTCAGGAGTTCGAAGACAGCCTGAGCATGAGCGACGACCATCTCTACTATAAGTAGAAATTAGTTGGCCTACTAAATATATAGAAGAAAAAATTAGCCAGGCATGGTGCGCATGCTGTAGTCCAGTACTCGGAGGCTGAGGCAGAAGGATTGCTTGAGCCAGGAGTTTGAGGTTGCTGTGAGCTAGACTGATGGCTACGGCACTCACTCTAGCCTGGGCAACAAGCAAGACTCTGTCTCAAAAAAAAAGAAGAGAAGAAGAAATCAAAACCTGGCCAGGCACGATGCTCATGCCTGTAATCCTAGCACTCTGGGAGGAGCCGAGGCAGAAGACTACATTCAAGATCAAGAGTTTGAAGTAGCCTGAGCAAGAGCAAGACCCTGTCTCTACTAAAAATAGAAAGACTTAATGTGCCAACTAAAATAATGAGAAAAAATTAGCCGGACATGGTGGCACATGCCTATAGTCCCAGATACTTGGGAGGCTGAGGCAGGAGGATGCCTTGAGCCTAAGGATTTGAGGTTGCTGTGAGCTAGGCTGACGCACGGCACTCTAGCCCAGGCAACAGAGTGAGACTCTGTCTCCAAAAAATAATAAAATAAAATAAAAATGAATAAACCAAACCATAGAAAGTATATATGAAACAGAAGCTGGTCTTCAGAATGATCAATGCAATTGATAAACCTAGCAATATACGGCAAAAAAAAACCCAAGCAGACCCAAATTGGTTAATACTGAAAATGAGAGGGCTATTAGTGATCAGACCCCAGAGACATTAAAAGGATAAGCAGAAAATAATATTAATAATTGTATTCATTAATAAATTTGACAACTTAGGTGAAATGAATCAAATCCTCGAAGCCACAATACCAAAAGTCATGAAATGAGATAATTTGAACACCCTATAACTACTAAAGAAATTGAATTTGTAGGTCAGGACGTGTGTGGCTACCTGTAATCCTAGCACTCTCGGAGGCTGAGGCAAGAGGATCACTTGAGATCAGGAGTTGGAGGCCACAGTGAGCTGTGATCATGCACTGCACTCCGTCTGGGTGACAGAGCAGAAACGCCTGTCTCTAAAATAAAAAATAATAATTATATATATGTATGAAACATCATTTATGATGACAACTTCTCAGCAAACTAGGAAATAGAAGGGAGCTTCCTCAGCCTGATCAAGGGCTTTTACATAATACCCACAACTACATCGTACTAATAGGGAATGAGAATGCTTCCCCTTAAAAATGAGAACAAGCAGGCAAGATATCCCATCTTTACCACTCCCCTCTACTTAGCCCTAGCCAGTGCAGTGAGGCAAAAGAAGAAAAAGATAAAAGAAGAGAAAAGGCAGGCAGGATGCGAGGAGCAGATGAAGCCATTCCTGTTTCTACAAACAGCTTGATTGTCTCTGCCAAAATTCCAGAGAGTCGACACACAAATTCCTAGAATAAACATGTGAGCTTAGCACGGTCACAGGACACGAGCCAACACACGAAAAAAATTATTTTCTAAATGCTGCTACTGAACAATTGACTCTAAATTAAATTTACAATGGCTCCCCCCAAAATGAATACTTAGGTACAAATCTAACAAGACATGTACTGGATCTGTATGCTGAAACCGAAATACTGAGGAAAGAAAATTTGTAAATACTAAATTCAATAAATGAGAGACTATAAGTTGTATTCATGGATTGGAAGACTCAAAATTGTTAAGATATCAATTTTCCTCAAGGGACCATAGGATTTAATGTAATACCATAAAAATTTCAAGACGATTTTTTGTAGATATAGAGTGCCTGACTATAACATATATATATTAGAAGGGTGAGAACGAGAATTGGCTGAAAAATTTTGAAAAAGAAAGAGAGGGAGGCCGAGGTGGGCGGATCGCTCGGGTCAGGAGTTCGAAACCAGCCTGAGTGAGACCCCATCTCTACTAAAATAGAAAGAAATTAATTGACCAACTAAAATAATAAGTAAAGAAAATTAGCCGGGCATGGTGGTGCATGCTGTAGTCCCAGCTACTCAGGAGGCTGGAGGCAGGAGGATCATTTGAGCCCAGGAGTTTGAGGTGTTGTGAACTAGGCTGACACCACAGCATTCACTCTAGCCTGGACAACAAAGTGAGACTCTGTCTCAAAAAAAAAAAAAAAAAGAAGAAGAAGAATGAAGTTGGAGGACTAGTACTACACAATGTTGACATTTACTATGTGGCTACAGTAATCAAGATAGAATTGGGGAAGAGAGAAACACCATAGAGTCTGGAAACAGACCCATAAATATGGCTATTTAGTCTTAGACAAAGGTGCAAAGAAATTCCTGGAGAAAGGACGATCTTTTCAACAAATGGTATGAGAACAATTGGTCATTCATATGCAAAGAGAATGAATCATAACCTAAACATTACATCTTATACAAAGATCAACTCCAAATGAATCATAGATCTATATGTACAACATAAAACCATAAAACTTTTAGGAGAAAGGAGAAAGAAGTCTTCGTGACCTGGGCTTAAGCAAAGAGTTCTGACAGAGTAATGACATCCAAAACACCATCTGTAAAAGAACAAATGATAAATTGGACTTCAGCAAAAATTTTAAAATTTGCTCTGTGAAATATACTAAGACAATGAGAAGATAAGCTACAGACTGGGAGGAAATGTTTGCAAGCCACATACACAACAAAGGACTAGCATATAGAATATATAAAGAATTCTCTAACCTTTAAAACAATCCAGTTAAAAATGGGCAAAAGAGTTATGATAAAGGTATCCAAAGAGGCTCTTGAGAAGACATTCAGCGTGAGTCGCTAGGGAGCTGCAATGAGGTGGCACTGCAGTATTGTTAATGCTACCAGATTGGCGCTGCAGTATTGTTAATGCTACCAGATTGGCGCTGCAGTATTGTTAATGCTACCAGATTGGCGCTGCAGTATTGTAAATGCTACCAGATTGGCGCTGCAGTATTGTTAATGCTACCAGATTGGCACTGCAGTATTGTTAATGCTACCAGATTGGCGCTGCAGTATTGTTAATGCTACCAGATTGGTGCTGCTGAATATTAATGCTACCAGATTGGCGAAAATTTAAAACCATGACACCAAATGCTGCGAAGATGCAGAGAAACTGGATCTCTCATGCTAGAAAACAGTTTGGCAGTTTCTTATCAAGGTTACAAGGAGAGAGCAATTCTCTCCTGGGTGTTCACCCAAAAGAAATGGAAATGGAAGACTTCAGGTGGGTGATCCTGGCAGCTCTGTTCCTAGTCAAAACGCCAACACGTGCGAACACCCCAATGTCCTTAAACAGGCAAGTAGTCACTGTGGTCTGTCCCTAAAATGGAACACCCCTGGGACACACGGAAGGGCCCTGGTGCTGTGGAGGGGCCAGCGAGGAGGGTGGTGCTGGTTAAGGAAGTCTGCAGGTGCCGGAAATGTTGCAGGATTTAAAAACAGTCAATAACAGGGGAAGACGCCAAAGGCGGCCTCACCCCGCCCTGCCCTGGCCTGTCCTGCCCACAGGCGGGGGCAAAGTCCACCTGGGAGGGAAGGGCCCTGTGGGGTTTCCATAAGCACCCTACCCCCAGAGTGGCCCCACAGCCAGGAAGGTCATCCTGGATGGAGGGTGCTGGCCCTCCCCTCCTTTCTCTGCCCTCCGCCCTGCGCTGGCAGGCACTCAGGGGTCAATGCCGCCTGTGACCCAGGGGAAGGGGTGACCCTGGGCAGCGACTCTGCCAGCCTCAGTCTGTGAGCTAGGGGTGGACAGGCGGCCACCTGCCTCTGCCAGCAGTGGACCCAGGTCCAGATGGGCGGTGACTGGCTGGGGGGGAGGCAGGACACAGGTTCAGGACAGGGCACCCCAGAGCAGAGCTTCCTCCTTGCTACTGCCGCAGGTTGGTGGCCAGCCCAGGTGAGGGTCAGAGGGGGCCTGTCTTGGTCTGAGGGGGCCTGTCCCAGTCTTGGGGGGCCTGTCTGGTCTGAGGGGGGCTGTCCGGGTCTGAGGGGACCTGTGTTGGTCTGAGGGAGAGTGTCTTGGCCTGAGGGGGCCTGTCCAGTCTGAGGAGGCCTGTCCCAGTCTAAGGGGGGCTGATCTGGGGACACTGGCCTGGTCTAAGGGGGGCATGTCTTGGTCTGAGGGGGCCTGTCCCAATCTGGGGGGGCCTGTCAGGTCTGAGGGGGGTGTCCCGGTCTGAGAGGGCCTGTGTTGGTCTGAGGGGGGCGTGTCTTGGTCTGAGGGGGCCTGTCCAGTCTGAGGGGGCTGGTCTAGGCGGGACTATCCTGGTCTGAGGGGGGCTGTCCTGGTCTGGGGGGCCACCCCATCCTCTCTGTCCACCTACCTGGTAGCTCAACCTAGGGGGTCTCAGGGTGCAACATCCATGGAGGTGGGGTCTAAGGGGGTCCCTGCCTGTCATCTGCCTGTCCCTGTGAGGTGGCCAGTGGCCAGGGTGCTGCTTAGGAACACAGGCTGGGTCCTGTCTGGGTCTGGGCAGTCACCTGTCCTCTCTGAGGGTTAGTCATCACTCCTAAAATGGCTTCATATCCCCTCACGACATACAGAGAATTTCATGAGCACCCTCATGGAGTGTCCACTCACCACATGCCAGGAGCCCAGGAAGGGACCCAGCCTGGTCCCTGCAGGCGGCTCCGTGTGGATGGAGCACAGTAGGAGAGTTAGTATTCTTGGGGGTCACACGATATGACACGAAACTACATGCACCTCAGTGACACTGACCTTGGCATGCAGGTGCTAGCCCTGGTGGGGATGCCCAGTATGGGGCGGGCCCCAGGAGCCGGCCCGGCCGAGGCCAGGTGACTTTTTTGGCTGTTCCCAGGCCCCTTGCCAGTCCTCCTGGACAGAGGACGTGGGGGTCTTGGCTGCTGCACTGGACCCGCCCCAGACCCCACCCAAAAGGCATTCCTGGGTCAGTCTCCTGCCCAGGGCCAACAGGGCCAACTAGAGCATTTTAAAATCAGATTAGAGAAATCCAAGGCTGGGTTTTAAAACAGAAACCAGATATGTTTGTTAAGAAGCCACTGCCTTAGGGTCCTGTCGTGGAGAAGAAGCCTCAGGTTCGTTCACATGTGTTCCTTGGCCCCGGCGCTCAGCCCTGCCCCGCCACAGGCCTGGGTGCGGGCTGCAGAGAGGAGGCCGGGCCCTGGCACCGCATGGCCCAGAGCTGGGCTCCTGCTCCCATGGGGGTGGCCCAGGGAGCAGGGGCCGAGGGTGGGGCCCAGGGCTGCCCCCAGATAACATGGGGGTCCACAGGGGCTACCTTTGCCCCTGACAGTAGCACCATACGGGCTTTCTGGGCCCTGTTGGGGCTGTGTCCCCAGACCAGGCCCCTGCCGCCCACTGGGGCTCCCCCAGCCATCAGCCCGGCCAAGAGGGGCTGTCTGAGCCCCAGGGCGAGTGGGTCTCAAGGGAGCTGCGTCTCAAGGGAGCTGCGGTGCCCCTCTGAAGGGGGGGCAGGGGCAGCAGGTGGAGTCTGACACCCACAGCTGGCCCCGCCCCCCAATAGGAGCAGCCTTGCGCCCGTCATGGGGCTGTCCTGGAAGGAGAAGGTCTTCCTGGCCCTGCTGGGGTCTGCGGTGGCCTTGGGGCTCACCGCGCTTGTTCTCGTCCTGGTGGAGGCTGTCAACGTCCTCCTGCCCCCAGACACCAAGGTGGGCCTGGGCAGGGCGGGGAGGCCGGGCAGACGGGCGTGGCCCCCATGCCCTCCTAATCCTGGTGCCGCCCGCAGTTCGGGATCGTGTTCGACGCTGGCTCCTCCCATACGTCCCTCTTCGTGTATCGGTGGCCGGTGGACAAGGAGAACGGCACGGGCGTGGTCAGCCAGGCCCTGGCCTGCCAGGTGGAAGGTCAGCGGCAGCTCCGTCGGCGGTGCTGGGCGTTGCTGGCGCTGCCTGGCTGCCATCCCAGCTGGGTGGAGGTGTGGGAGGCAGCACAGCTGGTGCACTTGGTGCCAGGCGGGAGCTACTACATTTCTGTCCCTTGGCCAATCAGCAAGTCAACCTAAAGGAAAGGGGCTCAGAGAGGTTCAGTGACTTACCCAAGGTCACAGAGCCGGGCTCTGTGTTGACTTCCCTCTGCCTGGCCCGGGTTTGCCCAGAGCCAGCCTCTCTGGCCGCTGGTGCTCCCCGCCCTGACACCGCCTTGGTGCTGGCGGCTGAGGCCACCAGCTGCAGGGCTGCCCTCCAGGACCCTGAGGAGGGAAACAGAAGGCCCTGAATTTGTTTGCAGGGGGCTCTGGAACACTGGGTGCTTAAACAACAGAGACGTATTTCCTGCCACTTTAGAGGCTGAAAGTCCGAGACCAAGGTGTCAGCAGGGCTGCACCCTCCAAGGCTGTAGGGGAGGCTCCTTCCCACCTCTGCCAGCTCTGGGGGGCCAGGTGTGCTTGATCTGTGGCCGCATCTCCCCACCCTCTGCCTCCGCCTTCAGATCTGTCTCCTTCCTCTCACAAGACGCTGCCCGCCGGATTCAGGGCCACCCGGGGAAGGCCAGGACAATCTCGTCTCGAGATCCTTAACTCATGACGCTGAGAGGCCCTTTTCCCAGATGAAGTTACATTCCCAGGCCCCAGGGGTCGGGACCTGGCTGTGTCTTTGGGGTCCAAGTTCGGGGCCTGCAGCCTCGTGCCGGGTGCTGTGTTTCAGGGCCTGGAATCTCCTCCTACGCCTCCAACCCTGCACAGGCCGGCGAGAGCCTTCGGGGCTGCCTGGAGGAGGCGCTGGCGCTGATCCCAGAGGCCCAGCATCGGGGGACGCCCATGTTCTTGGGGGCCACGGCCGGCATGAGGCTGCTCAGGTGAGGTGGTCCTGGCTGGCGTCTGTGGGGACTGGCCCCAGGAGCTGGGGTCTCCAGAGCCCGGGGGTGCGGGGTAGCTGCTGGGCTCAGCTCCCAGCCAGCTTGGCCCTGGTCCCCTCTGCCCAGCCAGAAGAACAGCTCCCAGGCAGGGGACATCTTTGCAGCAGTCACCCGGGTCCTGGGCGGGTCTCCTGTGGATTTTCAGGGCGCCAAGCTCCTGGACGGGCAGGACGAAGGCGCCTTTGGCTGGATCACCATCAACTACGTCCTGGGGCTGCTCATCAAGGTGCCAGGGGCGGCCTGAGGTGGGGCGGGGCTGGTGTGGGCTGGGGGCATCGTGCGGCTCCAGGGCTGACAGCTCCACCTGTGGTCAGTACTCCTTCTCTGGAAAATGGACCCGGCCTCCGGAGGGGACACTGGTGGGCGCCCTGGACCTGGGAGGGGCCTCCACCCAGATCGCCTTTGTACCCCGGGGCCCCGTCTTGGACACGAGCACCCAGGCCACCTTCCACCTCTACGGCTCCAGCTACAGCGTCTACACTCGCAGCTACCTCTGCTATGGGCGGGACCAGATGCTGAGCCGCCTCCTGGCCGGGCTGGTGCAGGTCAGGATGTCTGGGGCTGGGGGTGGTGGCTGCCGGCCCTGGGCCAGCGCTGAGGCCTTCCCTGCCCCCGCAGAGGCAGAACCACTCAGCCGGCCCGGTGGGACACCCCTGCTACCACAGCGGCTACCGCACCACACTGCCCCTGGCCTCCCTGTACGAGTCGCCCTGTGTCCACACTGCAGCCCCCCAGAACCTCACCCAGAACCTCACAGTGGAAGGGACGGGCAACCCTGGGGCCTGCGTCGTGGCCATCCGCGAACTCTTCAACTGCTCCAGCCACCAGGGCCTAGGGGACTGTGCCTTTGACAGGGTCCACCAGCCCCCGCTGTGGGGCCAGTTCTACGTGAGACCCCCACTGCCCGCCAGGGAGAGGAGGGACAGGAGGGATGGGCCAAGCCCTGGCTGGCTCTTGGGGACTCTGGGACACCTGTGGGTGGGGCTTCCTCCAACCCCAGGTGCACTTGGGCGTGGCCCCAGGGACACCCATGTCCTCCCACCCCAGGCCTTCTCCAACTTCTACTACACCTTCCACTTCCTGAACCTCACGTCCCAGCAGTCACTGGGCGCTGCCAACGACACTGTCTGGGAGTTCTGCCAGGAGTCCTGGGAGCAGGTGGGTGTACCTGGAATCTCTGGGCTCCTGGGCTCCAGCTGTGGGTCCCCAAGGGCCTCCCAGGGTGGAGGGACCACCGGAGAGGGCACTGTGGCCAGGAGGGGCTGTGGCTGTGGCATGGAGGACAGCGCCTTGGCCGTCCTGCTCCAGCTGGGAGCCCAGAGAATGACTCTGTTGGCCGGGAGGTGGGTCCACGCCAGGCTCCTCTCGACTGGTCAGGGGTTCCCAGGGACAGCAGGAAGAGCCCTCTGCCAATTGCCCCGACCCCCTCTTGTCACCCAGAGGCTCAGGTTGGCCAGGGCAGGGGTGGGGGGTCCCACCATGGCCTGGTGGTCCTGGGCCCTCACTGGGCCCCTTGGCCTCCTGCGCCCCAGGTGGAGGCCAGCTATCCCGGGCAGGACCGCTGGCTGCGGGACTACTGTGCCTGCGGCCTGTACATCCTCACGCTCCTGACAGAGGGCTACGGGTTCAGCGAGGAGACCTGGCCCAGCATCCAGTTCCGCAAGCAGGTGACTACCCCCCCAGCTCGAGGGCAGGGAGTGGGCTCTGGGCAGCCACTCTGCAGCCCTGAGCGGCCCGTGCATGGCGCAGGCTGGCGGCATGGACATCGGCTGGACGCTGGGCTATATGCTGAACCTGACCGGCATGATCCCGGCCGAGGCGCCGGCCCAGTGGCGCGCAGAGAGCTACGGCATCTGGGCAGCTGGAGTGGCGTTCGTGGTGCTGACCCTGCTGGCTGTTCTTGGAGCTGCCGCGGTCCAGTTCATCTGGCCCCGGGACTAGCGGGAAGGCAGCGGCCCAGCCCGCCCTGGATCCCGGAGCCTTCCTGATCCCCGACGCGTGCAGTGCCTTGTTCTCTGCGCTCTGGCCCCGCAGGCCTGGACATGTGGTGCCACTCTGCCACCAGGTTGTGCTGGCCGTGAAGACTGCATGGCCCCCCAGCGCCCCACGGCCCCCCATCCCAGCGTCCCCGGGCCCCTCTCCCCGGCACCTCTTCCCTGCAGCACCCAGGGCTGTGTGCAGGGGCCTGCGTGGAGCCTGGCTCGGGGGCCAACGCTGCAGCAGGGTGGGCCTGGCTCCCAGGAGCCAGCAAAGGGACGCTGGGAGCCACAGCAGGAGGCCGAGAGGGAAGCAGGGCCGCCTGGACCAGTGGCCTTCGCTGTCCGACCAGCTGGACAGAGTCCAGCAACGTGGTGTCTCCCGGGCCACCCCCACACCCTCTTCGGTCACACCCCTCGCGTCGCCAAGCCTGGAATGTGGACCGCACCGTGGGGGCGTCTTTATTAAAACCTCCTGAACACAGGATTTCCCAGGGCTGACCCTCCTTGCCGGGGCCCAGGGCCAGGTGGGCTCCTCACAGGTGTCGGCTGGCAGCGGCCACGAAGCACTTGGGGAAGATGCCGATGCGGCCGTCTCGGTGGCCCTCCAGCCAGGCCTGGTCCACTGCAAGGGGCACGTCGCGCATGTCACCGAGCTCGGCCTCACAGCACCGGCCAGGCCCCCACGCCCCCACACCCCGGGTGGCCTGGTCCACTGCAAGGGGCACGTCGGGCATGCCACCGAGCTCGGCCTCACAGCACAGGCCAGGCCCCCACATTCCTACACCCCGGTGGCCTGGTCCACTGCAAGGGGCATGTCGCGCATGTCACCAATCTCGGCCTCACAGCACAGGCCAGGCCCCCACATTCCTACGCCCCGTGTGGCCTGGTCCACTGCAAGGGGCACGTCGGGCATGTCACCGAGCTCGGCCTCACAGCACCGGCCAGGCCCCCACGCCCCCACGCCCCGGGTGGCCTGGTCCACTGCAAGGGGGACCGTCGGGCATGTCACCAAGCGTTCGAGCCTTCACAGCACCGCCAGGCCCCCACATGTCCGACACCCCGGGTGGCCTGTCCGACGCAAGGGGCACGTCGGGCTGTCACGAGCTCACCCGGCAGGGCCACCAAGCCCCACGCCGGTGGTCCTGGTCCACTGCAAGGGGCACGTCGGGCATTCACAGAAAGCTCGGCCTCACAGCACAGGCCAGGCCCCCACGCCCCCACGCCCCGGGTGGCCTGGTCCACTGCAAGGGGCACGTCGGGCATGCCACCGAGCTCGGCCTCACAGCACGGGCCAGGCCCCCACGCCCCCACGCCCCGGGTGGCCTGGACCACTGCAAGGGGCACGTCGGGCATGTCACCGAGCTCGGCCTCACAGCACGGGCCAGGCCCCCACGCCCCCACGCCCCGGGTGGCCTGGTCCACTGCAAGGGGCACGTCGGGCATGTCACCGAGCTCGGCCTCACAGCACGGGCCAGGCCCCCACGCCCCCACACCCCGGGTGGCCTGGTCCACTGCAAGGGGCACGTCGGGCATGTCACCGAGCTCGGCCTCACAGCACGGGCCAGGCCCCCAGGCCCCAGGTGGCTCCTGCCCCACCCCCCAGTGCTTAGGGAGGCCAGTGCCCACCCTACCTTCACACAGGACATCCACCGTGTCCCCCTGCTCGAAGTCCAGGTCCTCGGGCCCCTGGGCTGCATAGCTGTGCTGGGCCACCACTTGGTAGAGGACGGGCCGGCCCCCTGCTCCCTGGTGGAATGGGGGGCTGCAGGGCAGGCCGACGGCAGGAGGAGAGGCCCCCACCCTCCGGACTGCCCTGCCTGCACCCCTCGGCTCACCTGGCACTGGAGCTGCAGCCCCCTGGGGTCAGCAGCCGCGTCCAGCCAGGCCCTCTGCAGCGCCTCCTCCCCGGGGATGGGGACCCAGTGCCCGCGTCCACCGGGGGCTCGGTAACTGCAAAACGGTTCCCGAGTGTGGCCTTGAGGGGACAGCTACTCGGGGGACTGTGAGGAGGGTGTGACCTCTGACCCCAGCCACCCTCCAACTGCTGCCTCTGCCTGAGAGGTGCCCCCGGCCCGCCCAGCTTGACCACCGCAGGCGGGGGCTTTCCGGCCCACCTGAGCTGCCCCAGCTGGGCCTGGCGAGGGAGGGCCTGCCCCAGCAGTGCCCGCAGGCTGGACAGGTCGGCTCCCCTTTGGGCCTCCAGGGCCACAGTGAAGGCACACTGCACGGTGACAGTGACGGTGGCTGAGGGCTTGGGGCTGCCGGTGGCTGCTCCCTAGGGCCGGGTAGAGGGGGTGGGACGGCCTCTGAGCTCAGGGTGGTGGGTGGACTTCGGGCCCAGGGGCAAGGGCAGAGATTGTGCAGGGGGTGCTGGGGCTGAGGGCTGGCGAGGCTCGATTTGAGGTGGAGTGGGGGTGCCTCTTACCCCAGCACCCGCGGGGTCCTCAGTGGGGCCAGGGCCAGGGCCCCCCGATGCAGGCAACCCTGCAGGACAGAGCAGGGACTGAGGCGGCCACCAACTTGGGACACCCTGTGGCCACCAGAAGTTTCCTCCCTCCCCTAAGCTCGCCTTGAGAGACTCCCCCAACCCACAACAAACACCCCGTACCTGGAGACACAGCGGCCTGTCCCCCAACTTGCTCCACCCGGGGCCTCTGCAAGGGAAGCCACATGCTGGGGCGGGGCCTGGACTGGGGCGGGGCTGGGTCCCACAGGCCTGGAGACCGCAATCCGTGGCCTCTTGCCAAGGGGGTGCGGCCCTGTCTCCCCAGGCCCACCTCGGGCCAGCAGCTCCATTTTGGAGGTTCCCCGGAAACCCCAGGAGGCTCGGAAGCAAGCCTGGGGACTGGCCACCGCGTTGACTTGACTTTAACCTTTAGCCCTAAGTTGGCACTGAGCGAGAGGGTTAGCGGACCCACAGCGGGGCTGCGGGTGCAGCTCACCACCCACTGTGGCTGAGCGCGCAGGCCTAGGTCTGCCAGAGCCGTGACTAGGTTTCAGTTTATTGGACGTACCAGACCCGGCCAGAGTCCCCAGGAAGGCGGTGCTGTTGGGTCAGGAACACCAAGTGCTCACAAACCCCAAAACCCGACACCGGCCTTAGCAACTCAAGCGCAGCTCGGAGGGAATTAGTTCAGCTGTAAAAAGGGCACGATTGCTCCAAAGGACGCAGAGCGGCGAGACGGGCGCTGAACGTCAGTGAAAGGTAACGTGAAGGGGCTGTTTTTAGGTTGTGCCCTTGGACACCTGAACTTTAACTGCTCTGTGCCCCGCCACACTCCAGCCTGGAAGGGCCAGGAAGGCGGGTGACAGCCATTGCTGGAGGGGCAGGACCAGGAGCCCTCGGCCCCCAGGGCTACTCAACCCCCACCCCAGCCCTCCTGGTCACTGCGCCCAGAGTAGGGGGAGGAGTTGCTGGGAGACCTTGCTGGACACCCCTCCTTCCCGCCCTGACGGCCAGTGTCCAGCCTCACGCACAGCTGGGCACCCCCATCTCAGCTTTGGGCAGGTGAGGACCTCGGGCAGCCCAGCCCAGGGGAAGGCTCACCTACCTGACAGCCCGCCCAGCCCCCCGTGTGGTCCATGTTGCTGCTCCCACCAAGAGTCTGGCCCCACGGAAGAGGCCAAGCTCCATCCCCCTGAGCAAGGCCCAGGCTCACTCACCTGCCCCTGGCAGGAGACCGACGGGCAGAGGTCAGCCTGCCCTGCCTCTGTCTCGGCACCCAGAGGGCTGTGGTGGGCGCGGGCTCTTCCACGGCCTACCGCTCTGGCCCTGGGGGAGAAGGGAGGCCCCCTATTCTCAGGGCTTGCCCAGCTGGGGGCTCACTGCCCTGCCCATCCCTCCTACCCTGGCCTGAGGGTCCCGAGAAACGGTGTGCATGGAAGGCCCTGCCCAGGGGCCCAGGGCCTGTCTGTTCCCCCACCCCCAGCCAGTGCTAGCCCCCGCCCTGCTCTGCAGCCATTTGTCAAAGGAGGGAAAACCCTGCCCTGGCGGTTCTTCAGTGGTGGGCTGTCTGAAAGGTCGGCCCCCCCAGGGGAGCTGGCCGCCTCCCCCACCCCCCCCCCATCCCACCCCCCCATCCCACCCCCGGCGGCTGCTTGGCCCAGACCCTCATCCCCTCTCTCGGCTGTGCTCCCTGGAGTCCTGGTGACCCTGTGGTCTCAACTCCTCTCCTGGCCCCACCTCCCCTCCCCCAGGCCTGCGGTTATGGGATGTGGAGCCGGAGGCAGGGGTAGGGACCAGCGAGGCCAGACCCCCTTCCCTGGCACTGGGGCACCAGCCGGTTTCAAAATCTGGAAACGGCTTATGTGGCGTTTTGTCCCCTGGCGTGGCGTGGGGCGCTCCGGAAGCGTCCTCTTGCCAGCAGGAGCAAAGAGGACGCACACAGAGGACGGGCCCCTCCTACCGTGGTGCAGCCCCGGGCCTGGCTTCAGGGTCCGCATCCTGTCCCTGTGGGCACAAGGTGACAGCCTCGTTCGAGTCGAGACTGTAGGGAGCTGTCCCCTGTCCCCACGAGTCCTTGAGAGTGGACCAGGGCAAGACCAAATGGTTCTGGCAGGTCCTCGCGTGGGGATGGGATGGCCACCCCCCCCAATTCCCATCAGAGAAGCTCTGGGCCCCAGGAGGGGACGCAGGGACCCAGCGAGGGCTCAGAGCTTCTGCAGCCCCCTCTTCCCCGAGCAGCTGGGCCCTGCAAGGCTGGGCAAGGACAGGCCCGGGGCCACCCACCCACCTGCAGTTGCTGAGGCTGGACGCCTGGGCACTGGTCCTCAGGGAGGGCAGAGGCCACCACCTGCAGGGGATGGGGCCATCAGGTCAGGGGGCCCTGAGGCCCACGATGCCTCCCCCTGCACACACAGCCCGAGACTGCGGACCACCACGGTGCAGGAAAACATCTGCTGGTAATTTTAACTTATTTTTAGTACAACTTTTAAACTGTTTTTGTTTCTTATAAATAAGAGTCTTCTGCTGTGACATGCAGACTCTAAGTTGATGCATCAGGACGGCTTAGAGCCCCTCCCCACCCACCTGGGCCTCCCCCAGACCTCCCTCTGCAGGTGTTCATGGGGACAGTGCCACCAGGGCCTGAGTGCTGTTGCAGGTGACCTCAGCGTGCGGCCGGCCCCAGGGCCACCAGTGTAAAACCACGGAGGCTCACGCTTCCCACATTCTACCTCTGCCTTTGGTGGTGAGCTGCTCCCCGATATCCTGTGATTTGGGGGGTGCTGCCTGGCCCTGACCGGAAGCATTGAGTTTCCGTGGCCCTGTCTGGGACCTTGTGAGACACCAAGGCCAGAGGGGGTGGCTGTGGCCAGGCTGGGCAGGGCAGCCCCAGGGGCTCTGCACTTGGCTCTCGTGGATTCTGCCTCTAGGTTCACAGCCCCATTTGGGGTGCCTCCCCCCAAACCTGGGAGCCAGTATGAGGATGGTTATGCCCACTTTCTACCCTCTGAGACATTACAGAGGCCTGGACTGGCCAG